ATTTGTAGTTGTTTATATTATTTATCATCATTGTTTATTGTTGTTTATTGTTGTTTGTTGTTTATTGTTGTCACTGATATTTCTGATACGTTTTATGTATTCATCATCAGTCAATATTATTATTATTATTATTATTATTTATTGTAAATATCACTTCTTTCTTTCTCTGTCTTATTATTAACATGTACTTATTATTATTATTATTATTTTATTTGTGTTCTTTTGTTGTTAAAAATGTGCATTGTATCAATTGCATTCTTTACAAATTTTGTCATTCGAAAATTACAGAGACCATGCTGCCTTTAATTAATGTGTAACTGACATGATTTTCTGGGGTATTTTTCTATTGGTCTAATATGATTATAATGATCATAAAAATGCTATATGCTAAGTCTTATTGTCTGAAAGAAATTATTCACAGAGATATGAGCCTTCAAAGTTGCGCATTTTGCTTCCTGCCATTTTACATCCTGTAAGGGGGTGTGGCTAAACGTGACGTCATACAAGGTATATGGTTGACTTTTACCATTGACTGCAATGTAAAAATAGTAGATGATAATCATGATATCTCTGTTATACTTAATTTTATACCTTGTAACTTTCAACCTGTAGTAAAAGTGAATCAAGTGATAGATTGTGCTTATAAATAGAGGACATCTGAGTCATTATGGCTGGTATAGCTTGCAGCTCACAGCCTACTTTTGACAATCCATAATGATCGAGCTGCTTCTTGTATGGTTCATCAAGTTTCATGTACTATTGTTGCTTAGTAGTGTTAGAATACCAAATAAACTATTAAATATACGAAATACACAAACACAGTTTCATTATGGATTGTCAAAAGTAGGCTATATGAGCTGCAAGCTATGCCAGCCACAATACTCACACACGTACAGTTGTACACACCCAAAAGTTGAAACCTGAATTAAGATGATTTCTATAGTCTGAATCAGTCCTGATATCAGTCTGAATCATGAATTTTTGGCACTCAGTCACAATACAATAATGAAATCAGGCATGATACAATTATGATAAATTTTTATACTGGTTCAGGCCAGAGCAACAGTCATGATTAGCAATGATACCTACCAGTACTATACCAATACTGATATCAGACTTGATTCATTGCTAATTCAGGCAAGAAAACTCTTGGGTGTGTACTCTTTCCTGTCATGTGACTATCATGTGACCTCTGTATTCCACTCCCACTAGAAACAAGTACTAGTTCATTGATGAGGGACTTCACTCAAACTCACTTGCAGTCATCAAGCAAAGTTCTTAAATATTGACGTAGTGACTGGTCCTTATGAGGACTTTGTTTTAACTGATGATGTGTGTGGAGTGATACTCCAGTATATCCTAATAATGATGGTATCATTAATAATTATCATGACATCATACAGCAAGCTAAAGGATTGAAGGTAAGGAGTGCAATGTATAGAGTATTATCATCTTAACTGGGCCAAATTTTGTCAAAATTTGAAAGGAAAGAATTCTCCATTTTTATAATTTTTCTCTGGCATACATGTGTGTATATACATGTTTTTATGTTGTGTAGAAAGTTTGAGCTGATTCCAATCAAAATTAAATTTTAAAGTTGCTCAAAAATTGAATCAAAGTGCCTGTACTACAGTATAGTGTCTTAAGCCAAATTTTTACATAATTATTATCAACATAATAATTATTATCAATATTTAGTAGCTTTTGCTACTGAAAGTATGACCAATGGATAATAATTATTGAAATATTG